TGTTGCGCAGTGCAGTGAGGCAATTGCGAAAGGCAGACTCGCAGGCACAGGAGAAGCTGGAATAGCAGTCGTTGTTGAAAACTTAAGAACCAAATGTGTGCAGCTTACATGGGAAATATGCCATCATTGCTCAGTCCATAGGCTTTCTCTTGCGGTGGTATTTTCTCCTGGCAGTTGTCGTGCGCGCGACAGCACATGTCCAGCTCTCTCTCGACGCCCAAATCATCATAGTTCAGTGCTATATTGCCGGGTCCACACCACTTTGTGCCAGGCACAATTATGCCTATGCCAAGTATCACATCGAAGGCAGCGACAAGCGCCAAAACAGCAGCTACAAAACGTTGAAGGTGCATAGTACACAAAAGTAAGCAGACGACTGATCAAAGGGGACTTTCGTCTGGGAAGAAATTCGTTTGAAATCTGAGCAGAGATTACACAGACCTAAAGCCGGAAGAGCCCATAACTTTTGAGACCTCCCTCGCTAGCAAGAGATTGGGAAATACAGAGGTTATTTTTATAATTTCAAAAAGTTGTTTATTTATTAATGAATTCAACTGTGAGCTTAAGACTGGATATTCCCAGGTGGTTACGTTGCGGCACAACAACCCAATCCTTGGCGTCCGTCGCTTACCAATTCGTTACAATATATTGTTGCTATGCCGCTAATAAACTTGTATTTAGTTGAAATATTTTGAATAATTCGTGTTCCAATTGTAATTTTTGTGGCTACTAAACATGCACTAACAGAAGTGTTTAATCAATGGACTTCATTTTGCACAGATGATTGACGGGAATCATCTTGACTTCGTCGTTTATTTTGCAGACCAGCACGTCGCCTTCCTGCTTGGAGAGTACACGACCAACCGATTCCCTTTCCTCGCCGTAGATCACCTTGAACTCATCGCCACTGTTGGGCGGCACTGGCGCCAAGTGCTCGCTGACAATGGAGACGCTGCGATCTTCCTGTCGCAAAAATACCGAGCACACGCCATTGGAAACGGTGCGAATGATGCCCGTTTGTCCAACCAAATCCGTGTCGTCGTGCGTGTGAATCCGCACCTCGATATCGGTGGTGCACCAGTCGCCCATCGACGAGTCCAGGCTGGCACCCGGTGTCTGAGGATTGTACGGCGACTGCGGTATGCCACCGGGCGTATTGGGTGAATATGTTGATGGCGATGGCGTGTTCAAGTAGCCAACAGGGTACGGCGAGGGAGCTGGACTGGGACTGGGATTGAACGGACTGTAGCTCCTATCCGAACCGTAGAGCGTGCCCGGTGTTTGTGGGGCGAACTGAGATGTCATCTGGTAGCCAGGAGTGCTGGGATTGTAGCCTGGACTTGGGCTGGGCTCCTCCAGCGAATAATCGAAATCGTTATTCCGCGCAGGCGTTGTGTTGGCTGTCGGATCCCAGGCACCATGACGTGGCGTCATGCTGCCATCATGCGATGGCGTCATTGTGCCATAAGGAGTACGCGTATCCGTATCCCAGTTGGGCGTTTGATTACCCACCAACGGGGTCTTGGATCCGGCAGCAGTGTAGCTTGGCGTTTGTGCACCATAGCCCGGTGTACGTGCTGGCGTGCGGCCATATGTGGAGACGCTGCCCTCCTTGCCGGGCACTCCAACAATGGCAATGTGATTACGATCGACCGATATAGTCTGACATGAAGTATGCAGCTCCACGCGAGCTGTGGCATCTGTAGCGTCCTTGACAATGCCCACGGCACCTAAACCAAACAGAAATGGGTCAGAAATAAAGATAAATGTGAGTCTCAACAAGGAATAATATACCTTTATAGGGTCCGCCACTGATCTTGATGGTTTTGCCCAATATTTCACGATCACGAGTCACACGGAAACCGCCCCTGCCGCCGCGCGCGCCACCACGTGCACCTCCCCTTCCGCCAGACGGATGCATGGGCGATTGTATGCGCGGCGACATGAAGCCAAGTCCGCCCATCGTTCCTGCAGGATTAACGTTTGCCTTGCTGCCGCCAGCCAATTGCAAGTGCCGCGTCTTGCACACGAATATGCCGCCATTTTCTGTATACATGCGGCAGTGCAGGAAGGCCAGACTGCGATACAAGTGCTTGATCTCACCGGAACGACCCTGAGGATTGTAATTCAAATATTATTAGCATGAAAATCCAGAGGACTCGAGTGTTTACTCACAGCATGAGGCCCCTCCATAACCTTAACAATGTCACGACGGCGAATCTGATTTTGATCAGCATCCAGAGCCACAGTGTTGCGATTCTCTCGCCGCTTGTGCAAAGCAGTTGGCTTGCACTCAATGCACTTGCCATTCATGCCCAAAACATGAAAGTTTTCACGCTCCAAGCGCACAATGACGCCCACATTTTGGGAGCTGCAATAAAGGAATTCCATTACCCATTGCAGATACTAAACATTGCCCAATAAACTCACTCAAGTTGCACCAAGTCACCCCATTGGAACTGGCCCAGACAGTCCACGCCTGTGGCCACATCGGAGCAGAGCTGCAGATCCCGTGGCAAGACCTCCAATTCGTGATTGGTTAAATCAGAGACGAGCACCACGCGCAGTGGCTCCACGCGTATAATGAGACCAGTTTCGCCCTCATAGCGACCAGCCAGCACCCTGGCATGGTCTCCGGTCTTGAAGTACTTGCGCAGCTCACTGGCTTTGAAAATTAAAGGATCCTAAAAAAGACAAAACCATTAATTAGTGCTGCAGCAAGTATAGGGTGAACCTTAACAAACCTTTAGATCCTGATGCTTGGGCATAACCGTGATCATGGTGCCGTCAATGGCCACAATCTTTGCCTGCAAGTTCTCCAAGTCTCCCACGCAAACCTCAACATTGTCACCCATGGAGAAAGAGTGCGTTGAAGTGGGATCATCCTTGACATTGCCCAACAGTTCCAGGTTCACCTCTGTTGGAAAAATTGATGTGAAAAATATGTGACAAGGGATGCTTGATAATAATAACCTTCCGGCGACTCTTCGAAGCGCTCTAGCTCAGCCAATGTGGGCTTGACGCCGTCTGATAGAATGGCCGACATGGTGAAGTTTTTGTAGAGGAAACCTTTGCGCGAATACCGATTACCCTCGAAGAGCAGGAAGTCTCCATCTGAGTGCACCTCACCACCAATGGCCCTGGAAAACAAATTAATTATAGGCATTGAAATGGCTTAAAGCTGGACAGACGTACCTCACGGCTTCTGGATCGAAAGGTTTAGCCACTGGCCGCCGTTTCTTCTTGCGCTTGCCATCGTCCGTTTCCTGCAAAAGAAACGTGTAAATGGTATGAGTTCAGTTCCAATTTCAAACATTTTCATAATTAATTAATTACAGTTGCTGTTGTCCTCAAAGCACCGCGCATGCGGGTATAGTCAATGCGGGGTAGCAGCTTCAAGTGAACTTGATTTTGTGCCAAATCAACGTAGTCCACCTGCGCAATGTCATCCTTGTAGAGGCCACGCTTGAGGCGCACCCACTGCTTGACCTTCAAGCCGACCTGCTCCTTGACCACCTTCAGCACATCCGTCATTTCCTTGATGGGCACCATCTCCTGCTTCCATTTGCCCATTCGCAGATTACCCACATTATCGATGGCTGTCTTGACGTGCGTTTGCTTATAGGCTTCCAGATAAATGTAACCTTTTACGCCCTCGGGCGCAATAATCGATTTGATTTGAATGGGATCGTCCGTGTTGAGGTATGTCAAGAACTTTCGCATCAGCAGCAGGGCTGTGGCCTTCTCCTCGCCAATGCGGCACTTGACCATCCATAAATTGGGATCCCTATGAGGATTCAGAACATAGTACACAGTAATGTTGAGATTATATCATTTGTAACTCACTTAATGCCAGGCAACAGCGTCTGCTGGGTGATCTCATCGGACATCTCTTCCCCGCCATCGCCAAAGTGTCGCTTTGCAATGGATTCATCGGCGTATTTCTTTCTCAGGTACTCTTCAATCTCATCTTCTTTTTGAGTGCTGTAATAAAGTACAAACATTGATGCTTTTCCTGTGATGTATGGTTATTCCTTTACTTACTCCCATAAGTTTGTGCCGCGTCGCCTTATTTCTATGTCCCTGGCCGTTGGACCGAGCTCATCAATTTCGTTTCCAACAATTCCAATCTCATTGGCACCTTCCTCCCATTCGTCATCCTCGTCGACCTGTTAATGGTGTGAGCAGACTCAAGGATTAGGAAACAAATTTAAATGGAAATTCATTTCGTACGCACCTCGTCGTCCACCTCTGCCTCGTCTATGATGAAGCCACCAAAGCGTTCCTTCTTCTTTTTCTTTCGTGGATGATCGTCATTCTCCTCCTCCTCATACTCCTCAGAGTCGATGTCCTCGCCTGGTGGCTCCTCCTCTTCCTCGCCCGACTCTTCGCTTTTGGCTCGGTTGCCACGGCCGTGCGGAGACTCGGACCCGGAGCCCGAATGAGCTGATCGGGATCTGGAGCGCGACGATCTGGACATGGACCTGGATCGCGACCTTGAACGCTGGCCGGACTTGGATCTGACGCTGCGCTGCGACTTGTTTGATATCGATCCATCTTCCGACCCACTGTCCGACATATTGCTGACTTCGGAGTCTGACATTCTAATTAAATCTGTAAACGTGTGCGACTGCAGGCAAGCGCATCACGGAAAAGTGCATATCAAACGCAGCGTTAGGATCTGAGTCTTGAAATATTGAATGCCCGTGCACCGTAATAAGTAAATATGAGCACTTACTATAGGTTTTGTTTGGTTTTTCACGAAAATTGTAATATTTTTTCCAAGTTTATGCCACGCTCAGTGTGACCGCGGATGCATTGATAACAATACCGCCGACCCTTACAAATATACCGAAATAAACCTGCTCATGTACAAAATATACCGCAAGAATACCGATGAACTATCAGCTGTTTCCTCTATCGAAATCGATAGCACGATATACTTTTACTACACAAACACAAACATAAATATTTTGAGATACCACTTCCGTACGGTACTTTCGTGTTCGTGTTGTGTTGTTGCTTTGGTGAAAGTGTGTGAATTCAAATCGTTGTATCAGAGCAAATCAAGGTCCGGGGCTCATTATAAATAAGAGAATATCCGTATTGTAACATAACAGAATAGTGTGAGTGAGTTTCGTGTGTCTCTTGCCACAAGAATGCTGGTCACAAGCATGAGCCAGGGCACAGAAATGTATTAATTACTAAACCTGTTTCGATTTCGCAGTTGAATTTCTAATGCTTTTATATACTACATTCCATCCATATGTATTCAAGCATACGTACATATAAATGTAGCAATTGAGAAACACATACATATGTGTAGATGTGGGACCAACCAGCATATTGTGTTTGATTAAATTGACATTTTACTATGACGACAGGCTCTGCTCAAGTTCAGTGTCAATGCAATCAAAGGAGGAGATTATAGGAATGGAAATCAAGGTTTGGTCCGCTGGCCGAATGGCACACACCCTTTGAGTCACTCGACGAGGCATTCAACCATCTCATGCTTCGCTTCGGAATGATGTCACACAAACTAGAGAGACATTATATACATATGTATCTATATATGTATTTATATCCGTATAAATTATATTCGGGTGGGAGCTGACAGCGAACGAGCTCTGCTCTGTCTGCTCTCCAAAGAATTCACCTAATGCTCTTTGCGTGAATTTAAGTAATCTAATTGAAGCCCCAGCCACGTTGGGAATTTGTAACAATTTTGCCAAGTAGTTAACCCAATTATTCGCATATTCCTAAGGTGTGTGCCGGCCTGGGCTGTCATGTGAGGGACACACTAATAAGTTAGATAAAAAGTTGGATATGAATCGCTTTTTAATCATTTGCTAAGTTTCTTGGCTTTCGCTGTCGGTACTTGTGCTTAATATTATTTCTATAATTATTACAGATAGCAAATAGCGAAAGATGGATGATCTAAAGGGATTCTTGCGGCAAGCCGGCCAGGAATTTCTGAATGCCGCTGGCGATGCTGCTATGGGTGCCGCCAAAGAGGTGGTTGGCTCTGTGATAAACGAAATATTTATCAAAAAGGAAGCCGACACCAAGCGAGTGCTGCCCAGCATCAAGAACATGCGAGTTGTAAGTGAAAAACTTTAAATTACATATAAAATATTACGGTCTGACTAGGCATAGCCATATACAGTACATAGTAACAAATAGACACTGAAATCCATATGCATGTAATCCACCAACTCTTAACAATTAAAATACATTCCATTCAATCGTTCGTTACTGACATTAGCAACCCTTGCAATCATCTCAAGCTGTATTTTATGGGAATGTAAGTACATGTTGTTGGCATTGACACAATTCCATTTGAAGGATAATTGTGCTGCCGAAATTGTTGTAACGTGTCCTTGTGTGTGTAACCACTCTAGATGTGTGTAAAGGCTTATTATATGTGTCTCTCGAATTATACCAAAATACACTGTACCCTGTACATACATTGTATTTATTCATTTATCATCTAGAACTTAAACATTTAAACGACTTAAATGAGTTAAGGAATAATCCGATTGTGTCATATTCTAGTTGGGCGAAACGAGCTCGAATCTGGGACCCTATTCTGAGGTGCAGGACTATGAGACCATCTTGAACAGTTGCCTGTCCAGCGGTTCACTCTTTGAAGATCCCATCTTCCCGGCCAACAATGAGTCACTTATGTTCTCGCGTCGCCCAGATCGTCACATCGAGTGGCTGAGGCCCCATGTAAGTGCAATTATAATTATAATTAACTTATACATTAACTTTTAATTGTATAAATTTATCTTTGATTAGGAAATCGCCGACAATCCGCAGTTTTTTGTAGAGGGATTCTCGCGTTTCGATGTGCAACAAGGCGAACTTGGAGATTGCTGGCTCCTGGCAGCCACCGCCAACTTGACACAGGAATCCAATTTGTTCTTCCGCGTCGTGCCGCCCGAGCAGAGCTTCGAGGAGAACTATGCTGGAATATTTCACTTCCGCTTCTGGCAGTACGGTAAGTTTGATCAGCAAACGAGCATCAGATAATATTTATTTATAAACTAAACCAATTAAAAATAGGCAAATGGGTGGATGTGACTATTGATGATCGTTTGCCAACGTCTCGCGGGGAGCTGGTGTACATGCATTCAACGGAGAAAAATGAATTCTGGAGTGCACTCTTGGAGAAGGCCTATGCCAAGTATGACAAATCTAACAACCCATGCCAGCGTTTATTTATTCTATGCATTCTCAGACTTCATGGTTCCTATGAGGCTCTTAAGGGCGGCAGCACGTGTGAGGCCTTAGAGGACTTTACTGGCGGTGTCAGCGAGTGGTATGACCTCAAGGAGGCGCCCGGTAATCTCTTTGCCATATTACAAAAGGCAGCCGACCGAAACTCCATGATGGGCTGCTCGATTGAGCCGGATCCCAATGTGCTTGAGGCAGAAACTCCTCAGGGGCTGATTCGTGGACACGCATACTCCATTACAAAGGTGCAAACGCACGCATAAAATGTCACTTGTGAAAGAGCTAATCAACATCTTTGAATTGTGTATTTGCAGGTGTGCTTTATCGATATTGTGACACCGAATCGGCAGGGCAAGATACCAATGATACGCATGCGCAACCCATGGGGCAATGAAGCCGAGTGGAATGGCCCGTGGAGTGACAGCTCCGCCGAGTGGCGCTACATCCCAGAAGACCAGAAGCAGGAGATTGGTCTCACATTCGATAGAGATGGCGAGTTCTGGATGTCATTCCAAGATTTCCTGCACCATTTCGACAGAGTGGAGGCAAGAAAGGGCTGCCCTTACACTGACTAGAAATTGTTTAATGGTAAAATGCATTCCTTTTCAGATTTGCAATTTGTCTCCAGACTCTTTGACAGAGGACCAACAGAACAGTGGCAAGCGCAAGTGGGAGATGTCCATGTACGAGGGTGAATGGACACCAGGCGTGACAGCTGGCGGCTGCCGTAACTTCCTGGACACTTTCTGGCACAATCCCCAGTATATAATTACGCTGGTGGATCCCGATGAGGATGACGAGGAGGGACACTGCACAGTTATTGTTGGACTAATGCAGAAAAATCGCAGATCAAAGCGCAACATGGGCATGGAATGTCTGACCATTGGCTTTGCCATTTACAACCTGAACGAACGCGAACTGGAGAACCGTCCGCAAGGCCTTAACTTCTTTCGGTACAAGTCGTCTGTGGGACGTTCTCCCCATTTCATTAATACCCGTGAAGTATGTATGACAAATGTTTCCCAATTTATACTTTTAACTCAAACAACCTCTGGGCTTTGTCTTCCCCAGGTTTGTGCTCGTTTCAAGTTGCCTCCTGGCCACTATCTGATTGTGCCTTCCACATTTGATCCGAACGAGGAAGGAGAGTTCATCATTCGTGTGTTCTCCGAAACCCAAAATAACATGGAGTGCGTACATGTAGAAAATGATAATCAGTTTGTATATTAGAAATAATTCGGGTTGCTACAATTTTGCGGGGTTTTTCTAATTTCTATTTAAAAAACGCAACTAAAGTGCATTATGGGTAGGTGAAGACGCAGTCTATACGTAATACCCCTATGTTTGTTTTCTAGTGCAAGTAGTTGTTGTAGCTACCCCAGTTTGTTTATTTATACCCACACTCCTCTACACATTCCCATAGTCTATACATATAATTACATGCTATATTTTTCAATTGTAGCTTATCTCTGACCCCCAATGCTCCACTCCACAGTATTTATTACAGAATAATATCAACAGCAACAGTATAAACCTGATTAAAGTACGTCTGTCCGAGTGTTTGCACAACTGCATCTTAGATTCTAGACTTATTAAGCGGAGTATTACGGATGCCCATGCTCAAGCAACAAAAGTATTTAAAATAGTGCAATTAATAATATATTTTTATGCTTTAACTCTTTCCTAACTCTAATTGCAATCGAACAATTACTGAGATTACCCTCACGGTCTACTTTTAATTCTGTCTTTAATGTATTTTCTCATGTACCTTAACAACTATAAAATATGGTAATAAACAGATCGGCAGAGTACCCCTCCAACAACGTTTTGTGCTTTAAACTTAAACCCCCTTTTATCGATATTTCCCATGACATTTCTCTCAAATTTGGAATGCTTAGATCTTGTGATATTACATTTAAAACATTTGACTATCAATTGCCTTTCATTCTCATCAATCATTTCACTTTCTACCTCTCTGCAGAGAGAATGATGATCATGTGGGGTACGGTGGCAAGGCCGACACGGTAAGTAGGGGTTACCTTTAAGAGGAATCCCTCGATAATGTTTTGCTTTGGTCAACAGATAACACCGGGATACCCAACACCCAAGCCACTGGATCCGCAGAAGGAGAGCTTGAGACGTTTGTTTGACAGCATCGCTGGCAAGGATATGGAAGTTGATTGGATGGAGCTAAAACGCATACTGGATCACTCGATGAGAGATGGTAAGGGCACTTTTATTTCCTTACATTTCCATTTAATATGTGCTTTGCTTTTCCCTTAGACTTGCCAAAGCCAGTTGTCTATAATCGTTTTACCGCCAACAATGCATTTGAGACGCAGGCAGCCGGCCCTGGGGAAGATGACGGCGGCGCCTGTGGACTTTTGTCGTTGATTTGTGGCCCGTTTTTAAAGGGAACACCCTTCGAGGATCAGCTGGGCGCGAGTGATCCGTCGAGTAAGAGGCTAATGGGTGATAACCCATCGGATGGTGCTGCTGTAACCTCAGGAGGTAAGAGAAAGCTGATAAATAGTCTCCGATGCAAGTGTTAAATTCTCAAATTACAGCAGTAATTGTCGATGAGACTCATGGCTTTTCCAAGGATGTTTGTCGCTCGATGGTGGCCATGTTGGATGCTGATAAATCTGGCAAATTAGGATTCGAAGAGTTCGAGACTCTGCTGTCGGACATTGCCAAATGGAAGGCCATCTTTAAGGTCTACGACGTGGAAAACACTGGCAGGGTGTCAGGCTTTCAGCTTCGTGAAGCACTCAACTCTGCTGGCTATCATTTGAACAATCGCGTGCTGAACGTTTTGGGTCATCGATATGGCTCCAGAGACGGACAAATTGCGTTTGATGATTTTATTATGTGTGCAGTGAAAATAAAAACTTATATTGGTAAGTTATGGCACCCAAAAGAAGATAAGTTCCCTTGTATTAAAGCCGTTTACTTTCTATGCAGAAATATTCAAAGAGCGGGATACGGAGAAAAATGAAACAGCCACGTTTACGCTTGAGGAATGGATTGAACGAACAATTTACTCTTAAGCCACTCACCTGTAATCTCATTCTGTTTGAAATTCGTCTTCATATTGTTGCAATACTTGGCATTATATGTATACATAGTACAAAGCACTTTTCATACCAATAATATGCTGCCGCCCGAAATTGCATAAAATTGTTCAGCTGTTAAATATCAATTGACAAATCCCAGAGATATGTATATAAATGTTTATGTCTTTCCGAATTATAAATTAGGTGTATAAATATATTGACACGGTGTTAACTTATTAAATTAAACAAATGTGATGCATCATCCATCTTAATGTTTCAGCATTTAAATCAGCTATGGAGTCACTGGGGCTATGAGGATGGTAATGAAAATTCCCATTTTTGTTTAGTAATTTCGATTTATTTTCCTTTTTTGTGATTGAATTTAGCACCCAACATAATGTGCATTGAGTGTAGGCATTATTATATTGAACAAATAATCACATTACAACTTAAAACACACCCGAAAGTAATAGAAATGTTTTTAAAATGAACATTTAGTTGTATTAGATTGGGTTCGTAGATTATCTATAAATATCATCTAAAATCATACATTAAACACGTCTTTTTGTCCTTAAATTATTTTGACTACATGACGAGGAGAGAATGCGGCCGGCCGAGTGGGGTCTCGTCAATCTTGAGGGGTGGAGTACTATGTGAGAGTAATAACTATAAGCAAAGTACTCGAATAGTTCGCAGAAGAGTTATGTTTATGTTAGTTAATGTATACATATTTTGATTTATAGTATATGTACATCAGTTTCATGCAGTCATGCGGATTATGGATGCACATAGATCTACGCATGGCCATGGACAGCGGACGTGTTGCAATACATGTGCTCGGTGGGGCTACTCAGAGCGTCCTCTACAATGCGTAGAGGTTCGTTTGAAGCCCTTGTCGTATCCAAGCCCAGGCTAATTCCCCTCTGCAAGCTGCCCACAGCACTGCGATCATTGCTATTTTGTAGCTGCAACTGTGTGTTCAAGCTTAAATGTAAATCATTATCGTATATCCCCGTACAGTTGCCTGCAGCGCTATCTGTGCTTTGGAGTAGCTCCCCAGACGTGCTGGACTTGATGTAGCCACTGCTCAGTTCGTTTGTGGGCTCTGTTCCCTCAAAGCAGGGCACATTAGTCGCTTCTTTTGGTGTGACTGGCGGGAATATGTGCTGATAGCGCTGTCGTATCGAGTCAACGACATCAAAGAGGTTCTTGGCATCCATGGCCAATATGTGGGCGGCAGATAGCATGCTCCTGAAATATCAATGGGAATTAATTTGAAGTCTTAGGGAGAAGGAATTAAACTTACTTGCGATATTCACTGTCTAGCGTTGTGTCGCTGTATTGCTGTGCTAATCGCATCGCTGAAACGAGTTCGTGCATGTCTTTGGATAGAACTTTGTGTGCCATTTGCACTTCCCTGTGAAGATAGGGGAAACACATTAATTTAACACAAGTTTCGTATGGATTTTCTGCATCCTTACTTGAGAGCCTGCGCTGGAAACAGCACAGATATTTTGTCCACCGATGTGAGCAAGTTCCTTAGCTCAACGCCCACATTCTTAACCAAATCCAAGTAACCCTCCGTGTTTGCCTTTTCAACGCCCTGCGATAGCACCATAATGGACTTGACCACCAATGTTGTGGCGCAGTAAACTTCATCATTGGCACGATTGACTGGCCGACTGGAGGGAGAAGTGCCAAAGCTTTTGGAGTTAGAGCCGGACTGCAGCTCTTCCCCAGCTGCCAATGCGGACAAGTGATCCGCGGAGGAGTTGTTTGACTTTAGCGACAGCTGATTAGTGTTTGGCGTCATGGGTCGGGAGTTCGCATTCGAGCAATCGGGCAGACTGGATGGTCCGGCTGACATTAGGTCTAGCTTAAACATGTGTGGCTGTTGCTCGTTGCTGGCACCATGGGGAATCGAGCTGGATCGACGCCGCTATAAATGAGAGCAAATGAGCGGGTTTGTTCTATGGGATATCGTGAAAGCTTACCAGCAACTCCTCCTGATATAACCATTCTCCATCGCTGTTGCTGTCTTTGCGCTGCTGCCGCAACTTCTCGCCCAAAACGTTTTGAAGGGTCTGAAATGGTAAGAGTCCACAGTTATTACTGTGCTCCAAACTATGACAAAAAAACTTAAATAAATGCAAACAAATCAAAGGTAACACAAAATATCACAATCAAAAAGAAATAGTTAACAAAATGCGAACGCCGCCTTGCTGCCAACGTGTCCAAGATGATGTCCAAACCTGATTTCCCGCAGCGTCAGCGTGCAAAGTGGCCATGCAGACAGCTCCGTCCAAGCTGCCATCGTTTGTTACATTTTGAGGGCTAGCAAGCATCCATTGCCGATCCCATTCGCCTTGAACTAAGCCACCATGACAGACAAGGCCATACGAGTCACTGATCATCTGTGGCTCCATCACCATGTGCTGGCTGGCATCTAAAGTTGCTGCTTGGCCGTGCTCCACGGGGCACACGTTCATCGCTGGGCTAAAATTCGAATTTTGACGCGCAGACACACAGGTCTTGAGTCCGGCTCCACCAAAGTCGTAGATTTCCTCGGGCAGCGAGTCGCATTCAATGGAGTTTTTCATTTGCTGGCGATAGGCGTGAAAGTATGTGTTTCGCTCCATGCTCCTCGAACGCTCGGACGTGTTGCTGCAGTGTGGCGACGGCGGCTTTGTGTTGTAGAAAACCAAATTCTGGGCTGACATCAATGACTTGTGACGCTCCAAGCTGCCGCCTTTCGAATTGACACCCTTGCTGCCGGCCGGCACCGGTTGATGTCGCTCCAGACTGCCGTATAGACTGTAGCCAGCGATTTTCGATATTGCCGGATTGGAAAGATCCATTTGCATTTGCATTTGCATCTGCTCTTCCATGTGCGGTGGACAAACAACGAAGCTACTCTTTGAGGGCAAACTTCCGGAAAACATTCCCTTTGGCGGTGGCCTAGCATAAGCAAGGGATGGGTCAAGGGTGTTAGCTGCAGCTGTTAGGAGATTGGGATTGGGGTTTGGGTTGGGGTTGGGGTTTGGGTTGGGGTTCGGGCTAGTGGCATATTGCAGTTTGTTCTTTTCAGATTCGGCGATGGGATCAAGCTTTAGCATATCGGCTGCTGGTAGCTTTGTTGTCTTAAGTGAAACATTCGATTTGCTGTCATCAATTCCTACAGCTAGAGTATTAAATACCGAAGCGGGCGTAGTGTATGCTGCCGGATTGATTCCTCGCTTTTGGTTCTCCATCATCAGGCGGGCCAGCACCGCAGGATTCTGTGCAATGATATACGTTTGAGGTATGCCCGTTGTCTCATCCACTTTGGACATCATGCTTGGAATATCTGCAAATTAGGGAACAAAAAATCAGCTCCTGTTTTCCATTTTTAGCAGATTTATGCCTTACCAGAGTCATGCATTGCTCTTGATGGCTTCAATGGCGGAATGTCAGACTCCTCACTGCCCACCCAGGACTTGGTTACCAATCGTCGATGCTCCCGTTTCAGTGTCTCGGATGCGCTTATGCTATCCTCCATCAAAATTTCACTGCAAATAAACAAGCAACATTGGTATCTAGCTGTTACTGCTGGAAGTTTGGGGGTTAAACTCACTTTAATGTTTCCTTGATGCGCTTAAAATTGGGTCTTTTCAATGGTTCGTATGCCCAGCACTGAGACATGAGCGAGTACAGTCGCGGTGGGCAGTTTGGTGGCAGTGGTAGCCGCTCGCCGTTTTCCAGCTTCGAAATTACGTCACTGTTCTTGACGCCCTGAAACGGCTTGACGCCCAGCATGAGTATTTCCCAGATGCAAACACCTAAAGGAGAGTTTATTATTAACCATAGATAGGTTTAAAATTGTTGCAAAGTTACATACCAAACATCCACACATCGCTGGCTGTTGTAAATCTACGAAAGTTGATAGATTCGGGCGACATCCATTTAATGGGCAGAGCCACAGTGGGAGTGGAGTGATAATACGACTGATCGGACACCCAGCGGGAGAGACCAAAATCAGCCAGCTGTAGGAGGCATTAAGTAGTTAAAGCATGAACAAATAGCAACGCAAAATAATGTTACCCACCTTAACACACGTGGGAGAGCTAACGAGCACATTGCGTGCCGCAATATCTCTGTGTACGAACTTTTTCGACTCTAAATAGCTAAGGGCCGTCGATAGCTGGTAGCAGTACTTAAGCAGGGTTCCATGAGTTAATCTAATGAATGTTATTTATGGTTAATAATGCACATCAAAGATGGGGTTTCAAGTCTGTCTAAGCACCTGTCGCTGTTTGCTTTAAGGTAGGCGCGCAACTCGCCCAGCTTCGCCAGTTCCATGACTATCCAAATGGGCATTACGCTGCATATTCCAATCAAACGTATAATGTGTGGATGGTCGAACTTCTGCATAATATCTAAAAGCGAACAACAGATTAAGTTACATAACAATGATAGAAGATTAATGTACTTACAAGCTTCGGCCAGGAAGTTCTCTGTCTTTTCGGGATCTTCGTTTGCTTTGCAGGTTTTGATCGCAACTTGAATGACGTCTGGTCTGCCATTGCTCGATTTGGGATCGGCACCATTGTCTTTCCCATTTGCATCCGAATGCTTGGCCTTGGCAGACTTAGGGAGCGTGTAGGTGCCAACGTAAACATCTCCAAATTGTCCCACTCCAATCTTGGCACTTGGAGTGATGTGAGACCTGTCCAGCTCGTAGTTTCGAACAGTGGGCGTTGAGTAATCGCCCTCGCCCTCCAATAAACCAATTTCCGCATAATCATCCGTTAGCATTGGTTTTCTCGGACTTGAGGCGGCGGTCTGTGCCGGCTCCACCGGGAGATCATTGATCTTTGTCGCTGCGCTGTCTTCGGTCGATGCGCTCGTCGTTTCTCGTTGCCAAATCGTAAAGTCTAGGTCTTTTGATAGCAGCCTGCAATAGCCGTCGATAAGGTCGGCAATACTTTCGGCAGTCTGCAATCAATCAAAATTATGGTAAGGGATGTACAATGGTCATGGAAATCGTTTAACTCACATTAATTCCATTGCAGGTTATAACCAGATCTTCGACATTATTAGAGGCAGAGATTTTAATTTGAGTTTTGATCTTCTGGCAATTGCAATTTAAGTTATTTGACTCATTTTCTGTGGTATTATCCATGGGCTTGGGCAGCTTTTCCTTTGGTAGAGTGCAGGTTTTGATGGCAACGACATCCTTGAACTGTGCAACGTTCGTCAGGCTCGCTTGTGGATGAGTTTGATAAGAGATTCC